ACCCACTGAGCCCCCCAGGCGCCCCTGTAGTTCACATTTGATGAAACAAACTGTTTCACTAAGAATTCTAATCGCCTCTTTATTCATTCCTGCCATTTTGGAAATAGGCTACTAGTTTCTTTCAGTTGTCTTAGGGAAAAAAATTACCTGTAAAACTCTATCATTGCAGATTGTTTTCATTACGCACTTGGATTAAACAATTCTAATCATTTGGGATAGCTGACGCATGCATGTGTCTGCTGTCCTAGGTCACTGGCTTGGGCGCAGTAGAAACAGAGAGGGACCCATCACAGATGAGCTCACTGTGCTTTTCCTTTGGTCCGCTCTCAGGATTCCATCTCAGGCCCAGAGAGCCTGTTCTGGGCACAGGCTATGTGCTCAGCCAGCTACCTTCCCCTACCTACTTGGTAAGATGAAGCTCTTGTTACATTTCATCTCTAGGAGGTCTCCTAGGATTCACCCAAAGACAATCTTTGGCAAGAAATTTAGTCTTTCTTGCTTCCTGTGTCTTTATTAGCTCTAAGACATGCACATAAGACTTTTTTCCCAAGGCATTATCAAATTTTCTGTAATTACTTGTGCCCTGCTTTCCATGGTGACAGAATGTGCTTGTTCAAGAAGAGACTTAGTTTACAGAATGTTCCTTTTCCTGGAGGGCTTGGTCATTAGGAGCTCTCTGAACCCTCCTATTTGGCTTGATTCACTGGGACCCATTAACACAATATTTGCTTGGTCCACAAAATGCCATATTCCATTCTGTCATTAAATATGTATTCTCCAGACAGTTGGACAGTTTCCCATTTCATATCTGCTAATTGGAAGTTCCATATACATCCTTCAACTGTGCTCTCCCTGCATGAATTTAAAATAAGTCAAAAGTTGATCGATCAGCCCACATAAAGTCAGTAATATTTGAATGACTTTGGAAGATATTTTACTTGATTGTAGTTTGCTGTTATTTCTTGGGACCTCCAGTGGAGTGTTCACCCCAAACTTAGGATGTTAGCTTAAGATGGCCACCTCCTCTTAAGAGAAACACCAAATCCACATGGCATAGACATGTAAGTTCATGTGAAAGAGGGTGAATGTCTCTCAAATTTGTAATTTCGGTGCACTCTGCACAAATGTGTCCACGAGTAAGCAGGTTGGTCAACCACGAGAATAAGAATAAAGTGAACTACAGAGGCGAACAGATATGCACCACTTGAACAGTATCCAGGGAAAAAGGAGGTCTTCATGAACTGGCTTGGGATAAAAAGTCCCCTCTAGTAGGCAGGGGAATTCTAAGTGACTTTTTCTAAGATCCTGATGGAAAGATTCCTGGACTGGATGATAGCTAAACTCTCTGTCGCTTCTGTGTCTGCTTACAGGTTACTGGTTTTACTTTAGTGTTTCAGTTTTTAACCTCAAATCCCCCAAAGCTGTGTTGCAGATAAGGAAACTAAAGGGCATCGCAATGTGCATCTCTGAATGACAAAGGTCACTTTCTCTGAGCTGCGCAAAGTCACAGCTCTGCCTGTGTTCTTCTTCACATCTTGTTCACATTTTGGCAGGTACTGCAATGCTTTTCACCCTGATTTAAGATCTATTTCTACTGTGATTTGAAGGAAGATATTGATCTTTTTCTCTATTAGGACAATTCAGGAAAAAAAATCTGCATAAAGAAAAATGAGCTTGAGGTTTTCCATTTCCCCATTCCTGTCAAAGGTTAACTATTTTTCATAATGTGATTTATTTCTCCCACTTGAAGCTCTAAGAAAATCTGCTCTGATGTAAGATTCCTTGTAAAATTTGGGAAGGATTCCTCTCAAGATGAGCAGGAACAATGTGCAAATTAGCTGCATATTACATTGTAGATTTTTCCAAAATGAAAATATCTTGTGTTTTCCCCTGATTATTCATAAAGTTTATTAAACAAACAGACAAATAAATAATTTGTATAAAAGATGAATCCCTATACAATTCTACTCTCTGGAAATGGTCAATATAAACCATTTCATGTATAACTTACAGAATTTTCCTACATTTTTATAAGTAGGCCAAAAGACATATGTGCGTAAATATGTTTATGTTTTAAAATATAAGTTGGATCATACTATATATACATTTTTTGACTTTATGTAGAAAAATTTTCATTTCACTGTACAAAGACCTACATTAACCTTTTAAAAAATGTTTATTTATTTTTGAGAGAGAGAAAGTGCACAGCTGGGGAGGGACAGAGAGAGGGGGAGACAGAGAATCCCAAGCACTGTCAGCGCAGAGCCCAATGTAGGGCTTGAACTTCTGAAACCTAAGATCATGACCTGAGCCAAAATCAAGAGTCAGATGCTTAACTGACTGAGTCACCTAGGCACCCCTAGATCTATAATTAACCTTTTAAATGCCTGTATCATATTCTATGTTATAAAAGTAGCCAAATATTTTAATTCACCTCCAACTTGTAATCTTTATGTCAGTTCCAATTTTTTTTTTTTTAATATAAGCAGGATTACAATGAATATTTTACAACCTCTTGGTCACTGTGGTTCTGGTACATTGGATTTTTTTTTTTTTTCGTTCCCAGACCTCACTAAGTCCTTCCTGCCCAGGGATTTTGTCTTTACTGTTCCCTGTGCAAGGATAGTCTACTTTGGGCTTATACTGGGTGGAGCCCCCTTCAGTATTTACATTCCACTTATGTGTTTCCTTTTTAGAGAGATTTTTTTTCTGACAATCCCATTTAAAGGACTCCCCCCACCCCCCTTCAAACCAAGTGACTTTCAATCATATTACCCTGTTTTTTTCCTTCATAGTACTTCCCACTCTCAACAAATATTTTATTTCTTTGCTCTTGGTGTTTTAGGGATGGTAATCAACCATGATATCTCCTTATTCCCGGTCTGAAGAAACAGAGAAATAGACCCAGGAATCAGGTAAAAATTAAAAACATATGTTTTATTAGTGAGGTTTAACAAAATGTCTTTCCAAATTAAAATCACAGTCATTAGCCCATCCCCACCCCTAAACAGGACAGCACACATTGCTGCAGGCTTTAACCTTAAGGAATAGAAATGCATATGGCCAAAAAGGAGAGCAGAGAAAGGGCATGCTCACTTCCTGTTTCCTGTTCTGCAAATCCTATAGAAAGCAGAGAGGGACAGGTGTCCTCCGGTGTTTCCATCTGGGGGAGAGAGATTTTTCCCCTAAATGGAAACGGGAGAAGCAGATGACAGGTATACCACCTGACATCTTCAGAATATGTCTGCCTTTCCTCCTCTGTTCTTCGAGAGCTTAAAAGAGCCCAGAGCAGATGATGCACTCAAGGAATATGTGTTAAAGAATTGTTGAAACATAATTTAAACTGTATAAACTATTCACATATCCATTTTCAACGTGTATAACTTATAATACTTAGTACTGCTGACCATGTGGGAGAGAAACCTAATTCTCCCACAGTCAGAGGGAGAAATTAGTATGTTTTTACTGCAGAAGCTGGCCATAGATATCACAAGCTTTCAAATAGCTCTGTATTTAACATCTTCAATTTGACTTTTAGATTATGTCCTAAAGAAATATTATGAATATAGACAAAACTTCAGTTTGAAAGAATATTTATCTCAATGCTAATAAGCATAGAGAAATAAGAACTAAAAATTTTTCAACAATAAGAAATTAAATAAATTAGAATAGAATATTGCATTAGTTTTAAATAATATCTATAAAATATTATTTTAATACATGAAAATGTTCATTATATTAAGGGAAAAGGGTTGTTTAAAAAGTCCATATAATCCTGATTTCAAAATACAAATTTGAGGATCTAAATCTTTACAAAGGAAACAATGAAATTATTTTGAAAGTGTTCTGTTGGACTTGAAACTACTACCTAGTTGGAAAGTAAAGATAGTTCTCAGGCTGTCTCGGGGAAAAATGTGAAGAGAGTGTGAAGGGACAGCATCAGGTCACATGGTTTCTCAGTGTAAGGTCACCATCTGGCAATTCCATGACCATTTCTCCCTCCCTAGCCACCTCCCAGGAGAACTCCTTGGAAAGAAATATCCAACCAATGCTCTACCTGTCCCCACTTCCTGTGACCTGCCCAGAACCCATCAGAATAGCAGTGGGCAGTCAGCATGGTAACAGGTGGAGAAGATCTGAGGGGAGTTTTGAGTTTCATTCTTAAAAAGCTGCAGAAATGTCATCATATTTACCTGATTTTAGGATCTGTACTTGTGTTCATTGCATGTAGCCAAAGAATCTTTCACTTATGCCCAAATTGCAGCATCCAATGGTAATAAAGTAGTAAATAAAACTCTCATAATAAAACCACAAACACTGGGAATAGAAAAGAGGTACCATAAGATGCTTATAGGGACTATTAGCTGAAAATGAGGGGCTTACAAAGTTTCAAGGACAGCATAAAATTGAGAATTTACTTAGAAGGCACTAAAATCTGAAATAAATGGGTAGAAAAGCATGTGTGAAGGTAAATGGATAAGTAAGCAACATATATAAAGAAGAGGACCCTAAACACTTCATATGTTGGACTAGGAAGACAAGGAAGCTTAGGAGACAAAACTACCTCCAACTGCAGATATTCTGTCTGGGTCGTCTCTCAATGATAATAATCAAGACTCACACCCTTGAGGGGAAGCCAGAGCACTTGAATCCTCCAAAACAACATATGTATGTACTTGTGTGTGTGTGTGTGTGCATGTGTGTGTGCGCACGCTTGCTATTAGGTGCAGTATATAATGTATCATATTATGTTATAACATTATCTATAATAAATTATATACATATATATCCTGCCACTCCATTGATAACAAGAGAAAGTCATTTTCTGATTTATTTGAACACACTGTTTTGTAACATATCTGAAGATAAATGACAATCCCATCCAGAGGAATCGATTTCAAAATACTCCTTTTGTAACACTTAGTAATATTTGTGTCTTGATTGCCCTAGAGCTCTGATCTTGTGGTGACTGTGGATTTGTGTGTCTCTGCCGTAGGAGCATGGGAAGCAACCAGACATGGATCACAGAGGTCACCTTGCTGGGATTCCAGGTTTACCCAGAACTAGAGTTCTTTCTCTTTGGACTTTTCTGTCTTTTCTATACCCTGACCCTTCTGGGGAATGGGGTCATCTTAGGGCTGATCTGCTTAGACTCTAGACTGCACACCCCCATGTACTTCTTCCTTTCCCATCTGGCCATCATTGATATGTCTTATGCTTCCAACAGTGTCCCCAAGATGCTGGCAAATCTTGTGACTCGGAGAAGAACCATATCCTTTGTTCCTTGCATTATGCAGACTTTTTTGTATCTAGCTTTTGCTCACACAGAGTGCCTGATTTTGGTCGTAATGTCCTATGATAGGTATGTGGCAATCTGCAGTCCCCTACATTACACTGTCATCATGAGCTGGAGAGCGTGCACAGTCCTGGCCATCACTTCCTGGGTGTTTAGCTTCCTCCTGGCTCTGGTCCATTTAATTCTCATCCTGAGGCTGCCCTTCTGTGGGCCTCATGAAATCAACCACTTCTTCTGTGAGATCCTGTCTGTCCTCAAGCTGGCCTGCGCTGACACCTGGCTCAACCAAGTTGTCATCTTTGCGGCCTGTGTATTTATCTTACTGGGGCCCCTCTCCTTGGTGCTGGTGTCCTATTCGCGCATCCTGTTTGCCATCCTGAGGATCCAGTCCGGGGAGGGCCGCAGGAAGGCCTTCTCCACCTGCTCCTCCCACCTGTGCGTGGTGGGGCTCTACTTTGGCAGTGCCATCGTCATGTACATGGCCCCCAAGTCCCGCCACCCTGAGGAGCAGCAGAAGATCCTTTCTTTGTTTTACAGCCTTTTCAACCCTATGCTGAACCCGCTCATCTATAGCCTAAGGAACACAGAGGTCAAGGGTGCCCTGAGGAGAGTGCTGTACAAACAGAGGCCCATGTGAAAGATACCAAAAATCAACATGGGGGAAAGGCACTTTGCTCCCCCTGAAATCTGGCAGGTGGCATTTTCACCTTGTGCTATAATAAATGCCACATTAACATAGAATATTTTAGACCTAAACATACAACCCGAAGCTATATAGACTTTAGAAAAGAAAATAGATGAGCATCTTCATGACCATTGGTAGGCAAAGATTATTTGAGATGATGCAAAAAGCACAAGACATAAAATTTGCAAATTTGATAAATACTAGGTCTTTTCAAAATTAATCATTCTTATTGTCAGTGTCCCTGTGAAGAAACAAATGCAGGCCACAGACCAAGTGTTTTGTACATTTTAAATATGATTGTGAGTTGGGTATGACCACGTGAGGAGACACACAGATATCTTAGGAAAGCACAAAGTTCGTTGTCCTCACAGGTTCTGGAAACGGAGGGATGCATGCCTCCCAGGGCCATGTAGGAAAGACACCAGGGTGGTCAGGAGGCAGAAGACGGGAGTAAAGGAAGGTTTACATCACTGTCTTTACGGACATTTCCAGAGAAAACAGCCAATAAAGGGTTGTATAAGAACAAGCTGGAGTTCCTCTAAAAGGCAAATCTTTGTTACATAAAGAAAGGGCATCACCATGCAGGCAGGGTGGTGGTGGAGACTGCGGGCCCTATTGAGAGCCTCTGTCTGGTGCAACTAAGCCCATGAACTTTTAAGATGTATTAAGTTCATCAGCTGGAAGAAGAGGAACTGTTTGGAATAACCATGTGTCCTCATCAATGTATAATGACACACAATAAAAACTAGTTTCAGTACAAGACATTAAACTGAGACCGGGTAACTGGCTTTGTCTTCAGTTGTTTGGGACTGATAAATCAGTGAATCATGGCTAATTATGACACCTGTCGTGATAACCTGGTATATGGACAAGAGCCAAACCTGTTGGAACATCACAGCAAATACCCCTGTAATTCTTACTGAGTTGTTCTGCGATGAAACTGAATTGTACCATGACCGTGCTCTGCTGTGAGGTAACGTTGACATTATTGCTAAAATTCAGCTACCTTATGTGAATATGTGATATGACAATGTTGAGATTGATGACCAAATGCACTGGGAGATCCAGTTAAATCCTCCGCAAGTTGTCATACCAATGGAAAATGGCTGGTCTGAGGCAGAACTTGATTTAGCTGAGCCACGGCTCATTTCTATGCTAAATGGCTCTGCACAAGGTGATTACAATGTCTGAACAACATAGCTCCAAGGATAACAAGTGACCAAATTAGTACCAAAAACGTGGAAATGTATGTCATGGCTTTATAGACTATAGCTGTTTCTTTGAGTCTGTGCCTGGGTCTCCACACGCTCCTCCAAATAGGGGCCATTTCATGCTATTGCTGCATCTATTACTTTAAGTAAAATATCACTGTATCTGGTACCTATGTGCTCTTCTAAATATGGTCGTTGTGCTGCAAGAGCACCAGGCCAAGGGCCAGGTGTGTGCACTGTGCAAAAAAGGGTTAACTCTGTTAAACTCGTATAAACTAAGAATTAAAAGGAACTTCAAAATAGGCTGATCTTATCCCTTAGGGTGAGACACAGAAATGGGAATTGTGTCCCTGTGAGTTAAGTTTCAGAATTACTTTGATTATTTGGGGAGGGAGTCCTGGAGGTGCATATGGAAGATGATAAAGAGAGTGACAGGCTAGCACCTGTCTGAGGAAAGGTACAGGACCTAGAAAATGAAGGCACTGCTCTGGGATTACGAGAAGAGACTGGTGGGATTCTCAAGAGGGCCCCCTGAGGTACCTGTCCTTCTTTTTTAATTAAGGGCTAATCTGGTCTCCGCTGTGAAAATGTTTTGCAAACCTATTCATCTTAAATTATGGAGGTTATGTTGGTGGACCCAATCTAGTCAGGAGAGCTTTCTAAAAGCAGGGTATTTTCTCATCAAACAGCAGAGGAGGAAGTCAGGAGATCTCAAGTGTGAGGACGGAGGGCGTCCTAGGTGAGGACTGCAGGTGAGGACCGCAGAGCCAGCCACGCGTTTGAGTTCAGCCTGTGAGACAGATGCGGAGAATCTTGCACCAGGAATGCTGACCCAGAGAAACTGAGAGAGAGCACATGTGGGCTAGGGTTTTTTGTTGTTGTTAGTGTGTCTGTTTTTTTTTTTTTAACATTGTGTGTGTGTACATGTATACATATATATGAATACATATACATATATAATTTTTAATTTTTAAAATTCCGATATAATTAATATACAGTGTTATGTTAGCGTCAGGTGTACAATATAGTGATTCGACAATTCTATACATTGCACATTGCTCATCATAAGTGTACTCTTAATCTCCATCCCATGTTTCCCCATCTGCATCCCCACACATACCTCCCCTCTGGTAACCACCAGTTGGTTCTCTACAGTTCAGAGTCTGTGTGTGTGTGTGTGTGTGTGTGTGTGTCTTTTCCTTTGTTCATTTCTTTCGTTTCTGAAATTCCACATATGAGTGAAACCAAATGGTGGTATTTATTTTTCTCTGCCTGACTTATTTCACTTAGCATTGTACTTCTATAACCATCCATGTGAATGCAAATGGAAATATTTTATTTTAATGGCTGAGTAATATTCCATATGGTGTATATATACTATATGTGTGCTGTGTTAAGCTGCTAAGTTTGTGTTCATTTTTTTGTGGCAGCAACAAGAGAAAACTATAAAACTAAAATGTTTGGTATTGGGCAAAATTCATTTGTTTCCAGCTCTGGCCCTTTCTAGATTGGCAATCTACCATTTAGTGTAGTGGTACCCTAATATATGGTCTCCAGACCTCTTTGAACTCTTAAAAATTACCAAAGGCTGACAGACATTTTTATGTGATTGTATTTCTTTTTTTTTTTTTTAATTAAACATAATTTATTGTCAAGTTAGCTAACATACAGTGTGCTCTTGGCTTCAGGGGTAGATTCCTATGATTTATCGCTTACATACAACACTCAGTGCTTATCCCCACAAGTGCCTTCCTCAATGCCCATCACCCATTTCCCCCCTCTCCCACCCCTCCATCAATCCTTAATTTGTTCTCTGTATTTAAGTCTTTTATGGTTTGCCTCCTCTCTGTTTGAAACTATTTTTTTTTCCCTTCCCCCATGGTCTTCTGTTAAGTTTCTCAAGTTCCACATGTGATTGAAAACATATGGTATCTGTCTTTCTCTGACTGACTTATTTCACTTAGCATAATACTCTCCAGTTACATCTGTGTTGTTGCAAATGACAAGACTTCATTCTTTCTCATTGCCAAGTAGTATTCCATTGTATATATAAACCACATCTTCTTTATCCATTCATCATTTATTGGACATTTGGGCTCTTTCCATAATTTGGCTATGGTTGAGAGTGCTGCTATAAACATTGGGGTACATGTGCCCCTGTGCATCAGCACTCATGTATCCCTCGGGTAAATTCCTACTAGTGCTATTGCTGGGTCATAGGACAATTCAATCTTTAATTTTTTTTTTTTTTTTTTTTTTGAGGAAACTCCACACTGTTCTCCAGAGCAGCTGAACCAGTTTACATTCCCACCAATGGTACAGGAAAGTTCCTATTTCTCCACATCCTCTCCAACATCTGTTGCTTCCTAAGTTGTTAATTTTAGCCGCTCTGAGTGGTATGAGGTGATATCTTAATGTGGTTTTGATTTGTATTTCCCTGATACTGAGTGATGTTGAACATCTTTTTTTTTTATTCTTATTTATTTATTTATTTTACAAATAGTTTATCGTCAAGTTGGTTTCCATATAACACCCAGTGCTCATCCCCACAANCCCCCCCCCCCCGCCCATCAGTCCTCAGTTTTTGTCAGCATTCAAGAGTGTTGAGCATCTTTTCATGTGCCTATTGGCCATTTGGATGTCTTTGGAAAAGTATCTATTCATGGGCTCTGCCCATTTCTTCACTGGATTATTTGTTCTTGGGGGTGTTAAATTTGGTAAATTCTGTATAGTTTTTGGATTCTAACCCTTTATCCAACATGTCACTTGCAAATATCTCTTCCCATTCCATCGGTTGCCCTTTAGTTTTGTTGATTGTTTCCTTCGCAGTGCAGAAGCGTTTTATCTTGATGAGGTCCAATAGTTCATTTTTGCTTTTATTTCCCTTTGCTTCAGACACCTGCTGAGTAAGAAGTTGCTGCGGCTGAGTCAAAGAGGTTGTTGCCTGTTTTCTCCCCCAGGGTTTTGATGGTTTCCTGTCTTATATTTAAGTCTTTCATCCATTTTGAGTTTATTTTTGTGTGTGGTGTAAGAAAGTGGTCCGATTTCATTCTTCTGCATGTTACTGTCCAGTTCTCCCAACACCATTTGCTAAAGACTGTCTTTTTTCCATTGGGTACTCTTTCCTGCTTTGTGAAAGATCAGTTGGCCATACATTTGTGGATCCAATTCTGGGTTCTCTATCCTATTCCATTGGTCTGTGTGTCTGTTTTTGTGCCAATACCATACTGTCTTGATGATGACAGCTTTGTAGTAGAGGCTAAAGTCTGAGGTTGTGATGCCTCCCACTTTGGTTTCCTTTTTCAACATTACTTTGGCTATTTGGGGTCTTTTGTGGTTCCATACAAATTTTAGGATTGTTTGTTCTAGCTCTGAGAAGAATGCCAGCACAATTTTCACTGGGATCACACTGAATGTGTAGATTGCTTTGAGTAGTATTGACATCTTAACCATGTTTGTTCTTCCAATCCATGAGCATGGAAGGTTTTTCCATTTCTTTGTGTCTTCTTCAATTTCCTTCATAAGTTTTCGATAGTTTTCAGCACACATCATATTTTTTACGTCTTTGGTTAGGTTATTTCCTAGGTATTTTATGGTTCTTGGTGTAATTGTGAATGGGGTCGGTTTTTTAAAAATTTCTCTTTCTGTTGCCTTATTATTTGTATATAGAAATGCAACAGATTTCTGTACATTGATTTTGTATCCTGCGATCTTGCTGAATTCATGTATCAATTCTAGCAG